TGCTTTTAGAAGGCTAAGGCTGAAACTTACTTCTTACGTGAATTTCAACTTCCCCAGCAGTATCATTTGGTAAAGTATCATTATCATTATTTAAAACATTGCCATTCCTTTCTTCTTCGTCACTAGCCTCTGCAATTTCTGGGGGAGCAACAACAATATCAGTTTCATTTTGGTCATTATTAACATTATCATCATCTGTTTCTTCATCAAAAAATCTTTGAAGGGCTTCTTCTAATGTAAGATACCTCGTTCTAGGCATTTTTAAACAACCAGAACATCGAAAGGAATGAGTGAAAAAGGAGATTGACTACCCGTATCCTGCTGACGTAGCGTCAACACAACACCTGTTTTCCCTTCCCAACACAAATCTAAACATCTGACTGATGTAATGTTCTGATAAACGGTGACCTTGACTAAAGATAGATCACTCATAAAGACAGCGATTCTTTCATTAAATATTTTCAGCAAAAATACCCGGTCAAAAATTTTTCTTAAAGTATGAGATTAATAATTATAAACAAAATGATTGTTGAAGGCAAATATTTTTTTTACAGAAATAATCTTCATAATATTTCCTACACAAAATCATCTGCTGGTATAAAATATCTCAGGTAGTTATATTTATATACGCATTTATTTTGACCCTTTGCGTCAATGCAACACCAGTGGCTAATGGGTTAAGAGAGAGAAGATATGTAAGATTAAAAGTATCTCTGTCGTTATCATTACGTTGTAAGGTAATTAAGAATAAAGGAAGTTTGATTTTATCCCCATTTCTGCGACTGACCATATGATTAACCTTCATAACTGAGTATTTCCTTTCTGTAAGTTCCTCAGCTATTTCTTGCTCAGAGTTATCAGTTGGTAGGCTGCATATTACAGCTTTGATAGTTTTGTTCTCTGGCAGAATATAAGAGTGGTATTTAATGTCCTTCTCATTTAAAAATGCAGTTAATACCTTGTGCGTTTCAATATCCTGTACTTTTAACTCATAATGATCTTGAGCTATCATTCTACCTTGTTTTCAAGGGGATATGGGGCTTCCTTAAACATTTCTCTTAGTTTGTTCCAGCTGTATTTTCCCATCTCTAATTACAATCAGAGGAGGTCTTACACTAATTTTCTTGAGGAAAGGAAAAAATCCTCCATCTCAGTGGCAGTATTTTCGTAGGTCAACAGCACTTGATTCTTGTGGGTTAGCTGCGCTGTCATTGATTGGTTCTTCTTCAGCGAGACGCTGTCATCCATGGGAGCCTCTCTCATCATTTTGAGCCTGGTCTCATCATTTTGAGAGATATTGATTTTCGCCGTCTTTTTGCGAAGACCATAATCATTTTCACTTTCAGCTTCATTCGAGTTTTCTAATATAGAAAAATTATTGGAAAGGGGAATTTCAGAATGAGAAGCGTCATGATTAGCTTTGAATCTTTTAAGCTTTTATTCTGTATGCGGGGACAAATACCTGTTCCCCAGCAGACATGCTCTCTGATGGGGCCGAATTACCCTCATCAGTGAACAGTTCAATATATATGTGTTTCTTTAGAATGCATGTTTCTAAATTTGCGCCCATAACTAAATCAGTTTCCGAAGCCTTCTTTTCACTAATATTTTTATCAATGCTAGTGATCATGTATTGGAATAATACAATGTCAGCCTCAATGTCCTTATTTCCATGTTCAAACCCGACATGTTTGGAAATCAAAATCCAGTACACACAACGGACAAGCACCGCAACAGCAAAATCTGCACCGCGCTAAAAGCCCCAGAAGCTTTTCTGCGGATGAGCAAATGAACCCTTACAAGACCTCTGACAAGCATACGAGGCGCAAGCTAGGTTGTCATTGCTGTTGCATTCATTCCTAAGTGGAAGACCAAGTGCTCCTAATAAAGGCCAATAGCTGATGCTTATCTTACGTTTAATGCTGGCAAGAAAATTTTCTTTCTTTTTCCTGTACTAACAAGCTAAGGACTCCTTTTGTTGTGTTATGGATTTTCTGAGACATCAGCTTTTTGTTTTTTTGTATTATACTACAGAATGAACCATGTTCTGTTACAAATTTCATCACCATAAATAATTCTGTTAAGTAGGTTGAGTTTTTCATCTATACAAGATTTTCCCATATGTTATTTAAATAAATCACAAAAGTATTTACTTTATTAAGTGAACCTTTAGCTCTAATTCCAGCTTCATTCATAAATTCAACATTAGAATGTGATTAAGGAAAGAGTAATACCATTAAACTCTTTTTTTGCCAACATTATACATTATTTCTAATTTCTGCAGATTCTATAAAAGTTGTATCAGATGTTATGTTATTAAGTGAGTAAGTATTTGTTTTGTTAACCACACATTTAGTTGCCAACTCTTCCTTCATTCATAAATTCAGTAATAAATGATATTAACCCGTTCAGAACCAGCGTTCGCATATACGTGCCACAATGATTCCACTCCTACCAGCCCAGTGTCCCATACACATGGTGCAATGATTCTACTCCTACCAGCCCAGCATCCCGTATACGCGATGCAACGATTCTGCTCCTACAATCCCAGCATCACGTATACGCGACATTAAAACGGAACGATTTATTTGAATTTTTAAAAGCCAGTAAATAGAGCTAAGTGGTAATTGTTTTCACATAGGTTGATTCATACGGCCTTTGACCTTCATGTACTGGCATTAGTTTCTGTTTTGTGCTTCTGGTTTTGAGAGATTTATTGAAATAAACAAACTGGAAATCACAGCTCTTTATAAGTGTGCCTGTGAATTAAAGGGGCACAGGCATTTTTGTTTATTTTGTTAGGATTTTTGTTTTGTTTTGTTTTGTTTATTTTGAAACTCAACATAAGCTTTCTTGGTTTATTAAAAAGTAACATTACAGCATTATTACAGATGGGGAAAGACAATCAGCTTTCTCGACGCATAATGCGTCTTGCTCACATTTCTCAGGAAAGAGCCAGCGTTTTTGTTTTTCTTACTCGGCATGAATGGTCACTATATATAATGACACAGGCATTATATTTGGGATATAATGTATTTACTTTACATATAATGTATAGATTGACGTGATCAGTAATGGATATCCTGTCAGTGGGTGTCTTTTCCTGATCACTTTCCAGTTATCATGGATGCTATTTTTGATTTAGATAAACAGGAAGTTTTCTAATATAAACCTGATGTCACACAGGGTTTGAGGATGAAATATTTCTGAGTGTCTTTTGAAGAAGTTTCGGGACATGTGTTGGGGTTATATTCAGCTTCATTCCGTTAGCCATGGCTAAGAGACTTTACTTAAAAATCTGTCCAAAATTACAGACTCTCCACCTTTCCAACTAACTGGAAGACAGTTTCTGAAAATTTACGTTGACGGAAAAGGTAATAAATGTAGGAGAAGATGCGTTGTATGCTCTAAAACCAAGGAAAAGCGAAAGCAAACAACGTATTTTGAGTGCGAAATATGCAATGTAGGGACTGTGTGTCAATCCTTGTTTTGAATTATTTCACTCACGGCAGAATTTTTAAATTGGAATTTAATTACCTAAAGGTAATTTTTTTTTTTTTATTATCTGTAAATTTTTTTTATGTTTATAGTACTTATTTCTGTGTTTATAGTAATGATTTTAGTATTTTGCCTGTTTAATTTATTTCTATTAATGTGATATTCTTTATATTCATACACATTAAAAACAAGTACATTAAATATGCAACTTCAAAAATTGAGGTCATAATATCAAAATGCTGAAAAGCGCGGGCCGGTTGCAACGATCCATTTCAACGGGTCCAGTCCCGTGACTGTGCTTCGTTCTCCCAATGCTGGTCCTTAAGGGGTTAAGGAAAGCAAATTAATGGCAATGAATCCATCTTCCACAAATCTGAAGTACATTTTTTGTCAGTAGCATTAATGATATATGAATTAATTATGTATCAGTTTTACTATACTTTGATCAATTTTTTGTAAAATATAAAAATTCATTCTACTGTATAGATTTATTAAAAGTGATTAGAACTGACAAGAGTAACTTGTATTCTTTTCATAAATAACTTATGAATGCAGCTCTAAATTTATTGGTTAGAAATTTCTTTAAAATATATTTGTATGCCTTTTGAATATTGCTACCATGACATTTTACAAAAGTGGTGTTTATATCAAATAAGTTAAAAAGCTGCAGTAGAGTTATACTTATATCTGAGGCTCTAGTTTTATGTCTGGATTAAAGAAAATGTACTAAAAATTGCAATAGTTAATTTGAAAGATCAGTAAATTATAGGGATTCTTTGTAATATAGGTCATAAATCCATATCACAAAGAATAATATGAGTATAATCATGATAAAGTGCTATTTCATATGATCATCTGTACTACAGTGACTTTTTGAAAATTAATATCATATGTATATATATATATATATGAAAAATTACAAATTTACTACTAATGAAGCTGTTAATCTCTGAAAGTGACGAGAATTTCTGAGAAAAAACAAGCTGTAGTAGGCAAATAATGAAACTGCTTTTATGAAACATATTGCATATTCTTAAATTATATAACACTGAAATCTTCTTCAAAGTGATTCCATTAGAAAGATGTACATTGAACTAATTTAAATCAGAGTGTTAAGTTATCTGAATGAAAAATTCATTTTCTGTTGAAATGCTGCTGAATAAGAGCTGAATTAAAAACTTTTAATTCTTTTGAAACTTTTAACAATTAACTCAATAGGATTTAATAAGCAGCTTTAATATATATAAATAGTGGAGTATTCTAAACAACAAAATAAAGAGAAAAATTTTGTGATAAGTGCTTCATTCATTTGCATCTTCAGAATAATGACTTGTATTTTTTTATATACCTGTTTAGATTTTGTGCATAAGAATATTACATTATTAATGCTTTTAAAATAATAGGTATGTAACTACAATTATTGAAATAAATTTTAAAATATTCACTGATGTAGTAGTTCTGTGATTATATTTGAAATATCTTTGAATGTTTTAACTACATAGGTGATGCGTTTTTGTGTCAGTGGGAAGTGGGAGAAGACAGAAACCTTAGAGGTACAGTTGTAAAAGCATACAATTGTGCTCTGGCTTTGCAAACGCATGAAAGTCTACAAGAGAAGAACTTATCTGGAACTTTAAGAGTGAAAATTGGTATAGTTTTTCTTTTTCTTCTTTTTTTTGGGGGGGGGGTAGTTTTTCCCTATATGCTTATAGAAGTTTTAATAAAGTTAAAGGTTGCTTTCATGTAGGAATTAATACAGGGCTATATAGGGAGTGCATTTGTGTTTAGTGAACGTTATAAAATTTAATTTAACATCAAACTTTATGACTTAAGTTTGAACATGTGTAGGAATGGATGCTATTTGTGTTACATAGACAAATTCACATCTGGAATGTGATGTTCATCTTTCACAATGCAGGTTTCAAGTTGAGAAGTGAAACTGCCCCTTACATGTTCTAATGTCTCATGTCTAATGTTGCACATTTCTACAAATAGCTGTCCTTCAATGCATCTAATAAATGGGGTGTATTGACATAAACTTGTTCTGTTAAATCTTCCCACAGAAAAGAAGTGACATATATTGAGGTCAGGAGATTGAAGAGGTCAAAGCACATTACTGAACCTGAATATCAAATGACCAGAAAACACTAACTCTAGATGCATGTTCTGGTGTTGTGGGCTGTAGACTTAACTTTTTTGGAACTATACATTTTGTTCCAGGTTCTTTATTTTTGGTAGAAAAAAGGTGTTTGTCATGTGTATGTAATGACTGGAATTCACTGTTATTGCTATACTCTCCTCTTAAAATATAGGCGGGACTTATAGGGAGTGATACATTATGCTTGGATTCTGTGCATACACTGAATGCTCTGTCACATACAGTGAATGTATAACTCATTTATGCAGTTGTCTTAAATCTTCCTGGGACCACTACCTGAAGTCTAACTGGTACATTAATCCCATGGAAGTAAAAATGCACCTTATTACTCATGGAGATAAGTGCATCAGATTCATCATGTAAAAGAACTTGCATCCATACAGCAGAATACATCTGTTGTGAGTAATTGGTTCATCTGGACAGCTTATACAGATGGAATTTAAGATCAGGTTTCAAAATTCTCCTAATTCCCATCCCAAATGTAATTCCAAATGATCTAACCAAATGCTGTGCACTATGGAATACTGCTGTCACTCTCATTAGATTCTGTGGTGTTCTCGCCATATGTCCAGTATCTTGTAGGGTTTTTAAAGTTACAGGGCCTGGTGGTGTAAAAATATTTAACCCATTTTAAGATGGCTTTGTGCATTGGAACTGTTCCCTGCCACCCTACATTGAAAAACAAGGGGAATAACCTTTGAGTTGCAACCACTGAGTCGCCATTTTTAACACAGACATTATACATAAGCCTTTGATGTTCCACCGACCACAATACCATAATAACTGAAATAAATGTAAAATAAATGGCATTAGTTCAGATACATTTTATAACAATAATTTTACAACAACAAAAATTATTTTGAATTATATTAATTCTGAAATGTTCTTTTAAAAATGAGTATACTCTCCTGTATTTAAAAGTCCACCCCAAAAGTGAATTTCAAAAGTTATGTACTTAAAAATCAAAGTATATTTGGGCATAGCATCTTTTTTTGCTTTTGAAGTAAGGTAAATTTTATTTATTTTTGCATTCACTGCACTAAGTTCTACATTAAAATTTATCATTGTAAATTTTTTTATTCATTTAAAAATTATTATTTTTACATCAGGATTAAAATCAGTCTGCTAATTACAGGACAAGATTTCATAGTCAAACAGTTACTTGTATATTTATATGCCCCCCCCAAAAAAAAAAGAAATAAAAGCAATAAAAACAATAATAGCCAAATGGGCAAAGCATGTCTTCAGAAATTTTTTTAAAAATCATTATAGATTGTTAATATTTTACATTTAGGAACATTTCTCCTTTTAAAAGGAATAAAAATATTCCTCTTGCTCAAAAAAGGATGAATAATTAAAAATTAAATATATATGTAATGATAGCACAATTTTTTAAGCACTGAAAGTAAGAACACTGAGATGTAGATGAGTAGGCATCCTGATTGCGAAGGCACTTAATGCTTAGAGCATCCATCCATTTTGAAGAAGAAACAGTCGAGGTGGATTAAATTCCCTATTTACTATTTAAATTCAAATTGGTAGCCACAATTCACTTAGCACTCCAAATGTGCCCACTTCCAGAACAATCGCAATTTTAATACTATAACTGTAGAAGCGATCATAGCAGCACATAGATGATGGCACCAAAGCATCTTAACAGGATGAAAGCTTAAACGAAAAGAGAGAGAGTGTTGCAGTAGTAAGGCAGAGGAAGAAGGGAGGGTGTCAAACAGTTTCAGTTTAAAGTTTTGGTTTACAATTTGGTGATGGGTCAAGAGTCATTAAGCGTCACGTAAAATCGCATGATTAATTTGAATGATGCAGTTTAGCCTTGTAGTGCTATTTTTAAGATAGATAGATGAAGTCCCCAAATTAAATAAAAAATAAAAGAGGTTATAATCAATTAAATTTAGAAATTTGCTTTCATAGTTTTTTATCTTATATATGTAATATTTTCAGTAGATCGGCATTGAAAATGATGAAGCTTAGTAATCTGGTCACATCAGGGTCCAGGTGTGGTCATGGTGGAGTGGAAAACATCAGAATTGAAGACACAGAAGAATTTAATTTTATAGCTCCATATCTTTATTTAGTGCAAATGGCAGATCAGTAGTCTTTCAAATTTCCAAAACTAAATATCCAGTAATGATTTAAATTTAAAAAAATGTTAAATTTAAGCTTTCAACTTCAGAACTATTCTAACAAAGGGAAGAAGAAGTGACAGAAGACGGCAAGGTCTTATGGCAATAATGGCAGGGTGCAGTCTCATGAAAAGTGACGTGAACTCTTCATTTATAGTAGCAGTTACATAACATGCCCAAATGTTCTCAAAAGTACTGGTCTAGGGGTAAGATCTTAAAATTGCGGAAAGTTACTTAGAGGTTGCCTGTTCCCGTAGAGCAAAGCCATTGTATTTTTTATATTTTACATATACATATATATTTTACAGGTAAAATAACGATAAATTTGCGAGTAAAATAATAATAGTATATTTTTAACATAGTTTATTAATAAATTTGTTGAATAAATAAATTTGCATTTTAGAATTAATTTTCTTATATTGTTAGTGAACAAAACAGTGCTCATGTATAAATAATAACTATGAAGTATATGACTATGAGGCATCATATTAGACTAAGTGAACTGGACTTTAGCAGCTTATTTTATATTCTACATTTGGAAGCAAAATTCTTAGCACTTAAGCCGAAAATGCATTCATTAGCTTGGTGTTTACATATAACTAGTGATCTTTGGTGGGGCTCATTATATTTTCACAAATACTGGCTTTTATTTGGGACAATGAGTATTACTTTTTATGCCAACTTATTATGAACTTCAAAAAATTCTAGTAATATGCAACTAATTGTTTCGAATAGACATTCATATTTGTATATTTTCACAAATACTAGCTTTTATTTGGGACAATGAGTATTACTTTTTATACCAACTTATTATGCACTTAAAAAAACTCTAGTAATATGCAACTAGTAATTGTTTTGAATAGATATTCATATTTGTTTAAACTATAACTATAAACTAACTATTCTTTAAACTACCAGTATAATATGGGTCATAAAGAATAGTATAATGTGAATCATGGTTTTAATAGAATTGCACATAAATTATAAGATTTTGTCGAATATCATATATTACTCGTAAAAATGTAATGTAATTTGCTTATTTGCATGACTCTTCACTTTCAAATTTGAAATGCATCTGCATTTGTTTGCCTACTTACATATGCAATTTCCAGTTGTGTTAGACAAAATTAATGTTAATGTAAGGCATTAGACAAAATTAATGTTAATGTAAGGCATAGTCGTTGGCGAATAAGCATGACAAGTTTTGTTTGTGAAAAAGTTAGTTTATTGTATTGTAATAGTGTTCCAATGTGCTTCCTTTTTCTTATTCCACTGGTTTGCCATTGCTGTACAGTGAAATTTTATTGAAATATTTTGATATCTGTTTCCTTGAAATAGCTGACTATTTTTGGATAAAAGATATTATAATTTGTTTTTATTCTATTCATATGTTAATTTTTATTTAAATATTTTCAATACTTCAATATTATGTGTAGAGTTTTAAAAATTTTTGTATTTTTTATATAAATTGTATTTTTTGCGATTTTGTATTAGAGATGCATCTATGCATGTATAGTATTGTGAATATTTTATCAAAATACTACTTGAAATGTTTTGCAAAAATAATCTAACAAAACAAAAAAGAATTAATTTCTCTGTGTCTGGAATATTATGCGCTTCATGTATACTTTCTAATTAATAAAAATTTGGTATAGTCTTTAAATTTGACTGTGATCTCTTTTTCTCCTGTAAAGGTATTGCTTGTGGAAAAATTAATACTTGGGTTCTTGGTTCTCCAAGCGAATTCTTGCTCTATGCTGTAGCAGGTCCAGCATTACCTCAGGTGAATGAAGCTGAAAGCTTAACTAGTGCTGGTCAAATTACTGTATCTAAACAAGTGTTTGCATGCCTTCAAGCTGAAAAGGCCAACACGTATAATTCCAAATATTTAACTGAAGAATTTACTTTGGTAATTTGAATGTATTTTCTATCATCTTTAATGATTAAGTCAATACTTGAACAGTTTGCAGAAAAAAATCAGACTTGATATTACTTATTTAGCTGCACTGTTACAAACTCTCTTCTTTTGGGAATATCATGCAATATAATAACAAATATATTTTATATTTTTTTCTCCCTAAACATCATTAATTGCTTTTATAAAGTTATTTTTATGAAAATCAAATTTGACTCAATACTGTTTTCCTAGAATAAAATTATTTTCTCATAATTTAAATTTTAGAATGTTTAATATAGTTAATTCAGTAATTAGTGATATGTATATTTGTAAAATAAATGTTTAGGAAAAGAAGAAAAATATCTTATTACCATCTGTTTACCTTTCTTCTTTCTTTAATTTATAATTAATTGTGATGAAAATTAGAACTCAGAATTCAATTTAGCTCTGGTAACATTATTATAAAATATCACATGTTTAATGAAATATATTTATTTAACAGATTATGATAATAAGATTTACAAAGTCCGAAATTCAGACATCCATTATCTGGAATGATCTAAAATCCGGACCTCAAAACCACCACCAACGTTTTTCTTCTTGGCTTTACGCATGCACATTTGATTCCCCCTCTGCGCATAATAAAACATTTGGAATGTCCTAATTCTTAATTTCACTTTTAAACTACCTTGTTATTGAAGAAACAAACATTTTAGCATAAATTTGTACAATCAGTAATTTGGCTCCATTGCTGCGTATCTGCTTTTTGGCACACATCTCAAACCGAAACATTCCACATAGATACATCATTGATCTGACGCCAACCTGGCGATTCATTATTTATTATACTTTCCTTTCATCACCGCATGTTTATCAAAACATGACAACTTGAGTAATGACTCATGCAGCGAAGCATAAACAATTTTTTTATGTTAGTAATTGAATAATAAATGAGTATGGTAATCTTTTATGTTGACATTACGCTTGGCGATGATTACAGATTTAAGTTAAATGTGCTAAAGAATGTTGATGAGGAAAAATTTACCAAAATTTCTTTCCATATGTTAAAAATAGATTTTGCTCATGATACTCATAGACCCAAAGATTACATTTAGGGCTATTTGAGTTAAGAATAAGTGATTTGTTATTCACATAAACCCAGAACCAGCGCCAGAGCTTGTATGGCCGCACAGAGTCAAGAAATTAGGACCTACAGACACTGACTGCATCAGGCAGTAAGATATCTAATGCTGGCCCTCAATAAGACTTAAGTATATGTGGGGAATTTATTTATTCAGAACACTGATAAGCCTTAAACATGTGCAAGAAATAGACATAAGTATAATAAATAACTAAACTATTCAGGCTTAATTGTCTCAGTGCTTGATAGAAGCAAGATATCATTTAACGGAACAACTTGCTGTTAGTCGCCAAGCTCATGAATACTGAAGGATAGCTAAATTTGATGATAATTTTAAAGATGTTCAGTTATCTCAAAACAAAGGTGACATTTTCCAATTAATGGATGTTGTAAAGAAATGTGGAAAAGCGGTAATAAATGAAGACGATATAAGAGAAGTTTTTCATTGTGATGACAGTGCTTCTCAATCCTCAATCAATTAATGAATGGCCAAATGTGTAGTATGGTTCTAAATCCAGAAAATACCGCTACCGATAGTGGAGAAAGTGACAGAGAAGTTACTGAAAACGAGAAAATTTCGATTGACGCATTAGTCGGAATTCTCGAAACAGCAGTTACAGGATTTCAACAATGTAACTAAATAAGAGATTATGTTTGTATACGGAATTAAAGAGAAAGTATTAACACAAAAAACGTAGCAACTTAAAACAACTTACATTGAAAGAAATGTTAAATAAGTTAAACAAATAAATATTGAGCTTTTTTTTTTTTTTTTTTTTTTTTTTTTTTTGTAAATTTTGATACCCTTGAGATCATAAATACTTCATTATTTGATAAATCACGATTTCATGTTTTTAATTTTATAATTTCTACATGCCATCTTACTAGATTTAAACTGATGATCTAATATCTGGATAAATCCAAAATCCGGAATCGACGAAGTCCGGACGAGTCCAGATTTCGGACTTTTTACTGTATTTTAATATTAGTTTGATAGATAAAGAAATGGGAACTTATCAGTAAAAGCATGTTTGAAAAACTGAATTGCAATTTGATATTTGAAGGAAACTTTATTTTTATATTGTATGTATGTTTATTAAGTAAAATATGGAATATGGAAAATTCTTGACAGCATTAGTTACATAAAATATGGAACATGGAAAATTCTTGACAGTATTAGTTACATTTATTGTTAGTGCTAGGAAAGAAATTAATGGATATGAAGTTTCAAATCAAGAATCATTTTGATGATCTTCAAATGTTTTTTAAATCTCCATTTCTGTATTTTTTTCTTCAAAAATCTTACTAACAAATGACGCATGCCACCTTTAAAATTAAACAAAATTTAATCTCAGATGCTATTAGATTTAAAATCAGTTCCTGTCTTTAGTTGACTTTTGTGTAACTATTAAGAGTATTAACTTTTCAGTATCAAGTTAAAAGTATTAACATTCTAGTATCAAGTTTCAGTCATTTAAATTATCAAGTTTCAATAACTCTCTGTTGTAAAATGTACTTATCTTCAAATAAAATAATTTTCTGTTCTTATTATTTGATTTTTATTCTATCACTTATTGAAAATGATCATATATTTTTTCAAAAGATCAAGCATCTTAAAATTATATAATATTTAATTTTTAAATGAACTTTACAAAAACTTAAATAGTTCTTCATTATATAAAAGGCATAATGTGTAATAATATTAATTTTGGTATGTTTCTCTTTTTGAAATGGAAAACTTACCACAAATGGGCATTTTTAAAGTACCTGGATAGTAATATTTATATGTATGCATAATGCTGTGATTAGTTTAATTAAATACACTGTTTATAATTAATTCCAATATTAAAATTAAAATTCATGTTGATTTGCATGCCTAAGTGCTTTTATAACCTTTACATATTTCCTTTACATATTTTTTAATATCTTCTCAGATATCAGACTTTGATGAAGCTGTCAGTAAAAAGTTTGGTAAGTGTAAAATTGTTATCTTTCCATGTAAGAAATGTTTTCATTCCTGTGTGTTTAAATATTTGCAATTTCAATGAATCTCTTATTGGAGATAAATTAAATTCATGAAAATTCGCTCTTTAATTAAATCAATAATTAAATTTCTTAAACTAAGAAACTGAACATGCTAGACAGCTAAATAAAACTTTCACTTTCCGTGTTTCAGTTAACTGATCCCCGAGCTTTCATTCTCTTAAAATTCATAATTTTTTCAATATAATTTCTAGAGTGTACTGTTTTGTAACTATTTTTTGCACATATAGTAAAATTTTTTACTCATATTTTAGTCTTAATAATAAATCTAATTAAATTTGTTATTTACTTACCTTTCTCCATAAAAATTTACTTTTTTCCATAAAAATTGAAATGAGGGCTCAACTCTTATCAGTGTCAGTATTGAAATGCACATTGGAATAAACTGAAATAAATGAAATCAGAACACAGAAAGGAATTTATATTTGCATTAGAAATAATCCTGCAGTGTAAAAAACTTTCCTGGTATATAAATCTCTTGCAGCCTATATACTCAACCAATCAAACTGAAATTTTGGATATTGTTATTTGAAGGTATGTGCACAGTTATGGTTACAGGGAAAAATTTTTGAATGGCAACACCTACCTGTGCAAATGTATCAGTGTGTATCATTTAACTGCCACACTTGTCACTCCACACTTGTCAGAAGGTGTATTTAAAGGAAGGTTGAAAATTTTGGCAAAAACATAAAAAAAAAAAAAAAAAAAAAAAAAAAAAAAAAAAAAAAAAAAAAAAAAAAAAAAAAAATACTTTATTGTAAATCAAAACAAAAGTGAAATATGAAACTAAGCACATGGTGAAAGTCGATGTCAAATGTCGATCACAGACAAACAGGATCAGGTGCAAATGCAAGTGCGAATCTCGGCTAAAAATTCATTTTTTATACTCACAACTACAGCTAGTGCACTTTGGTACAGCACAGGAATTCGAATGCTGCATGCAAATGATAAAATGCAAGTACTCTGCCACAAGTGCATTGAAAAGCCATAAATAGCATTGGGGCAATACACATATGACAAAAATTGCCAGCATACAACATTTGTAAAGGAAAGCATTGTAAAGAATCAGTGGCAGCACAGAAAGGAGGCACACTGATGCACTTTGCAGAATTCATAGGGATTAACATTAGAAGCACCAGTCACAGAACATCATGTGCAGAGCATTGCTTGTGGAAAACCCTTCAGTAAGCAATGTCGGAGGACTCTTTCTTTAATCAGATGTATGAACATGTTAACTAGATGACACTTACAAGGAAACAATGAGGTGAATTGATAAAGCTGTTTTATCAGAATGGGGAAATTGCTGCTGAAGCAGTGGGATTTTATTGACAAAACCATAAACTGAGACCCATGTTCGGTAAAAATTGTACAGGATTTGGTAAAAAAATTTGAAGAAACTGGATGTGCATGTCATAGACCATGACTGCACTATCGTGTGTTTTTGTTGAAGTTGTTGCAGATGTGCATAATACAATTACTGCAGCTCCATTGCATATTGCTAAAAGTGTTGCCCAAAATTTGGGTATACCCAAAACCATGGTTCTCAAGCTTCTGCACTTAGTTCTCCAGTTGTTTCCTTATCGATTCCAGTCTGTTCAAATGTTGCAACAGCAACTAGGTTGACAAGCAACAGCAATTAGGTTGACAAGCAACAGCAACTAGGTTGACGAGCAACAGCATGTCAACTAACTCGAATTTTTCCCTAATCTGATTTCATGAAGGTAATGGGTGGCCCACGTGGATATTATGGAAGGATAAGGTACATTTATGCTTAGCTGGGAATGTAAACTCCAAGAACTACTTTCACTGGATTAATTAAAATCCTCAGAATGTGGCATCAGCACTTCACATGAAGCTAAAGTGACTGTGTGGTGCGGCATCACAAGTACATTCATTCTTAGTTTTGAAGAAGTCTCTTCCATATGTATGAAAATGGGCTTCATCACAAATGCTTGGTATACAAGAATGTTGCAGAATTACGCAATTCAAGATCTGTGGCAGCGAAATGTCATTAATTGCATTCTATGGAATGCAAGATGATACTCCTCTGCACATCACTACGTGTTCAGCAAGTGCTGCAACAAAAGATAGAATCATATCCTGTAACTTTGCACTTTTGTGGCCACCTTAATCCCTCTTCCTCATTCTGATGGGGTTGTCTGAAGTCTAAGGTGTACACATCAAATCCATAAGATTGTCAGAATTGAAACATGCTCTAAAACGTAAAGTTATACAGATTCCTCCTGTGGTGGGACATTAATCATTATTTACAACAATCTCCTCTATATAATACATTATTGACTCCAAAGGCAGACGGGTTGAAAACTTGTAATTACAATAAAAGTTTTTTTCCCTTGCCTCTCTTGTGTTTTCATTGGTCCTTTACAATGCTTTTCTTTGCAAGTGTTTTACACCAGCAATTTTTGACATATGTGTATCATTCCAACTCCATTTATAGCTTTTCAGCTCACTGATCAATTTATGTAGGAAAAAGGTGGATGATGCCATTTGAAAATTTTAAAATGGTTTCTCTGTCACCATAACCATGAGAGCTCTGTTATTTTAAATCATCATACTATTGAGTGCATATCTTCAAATAATAATATCTGAAATTTCATTTCACGAAGCAGATAGGCGGCTAGAGTATCATATATCGGGGATATTTTTTTTGACCACCCTGTACATCATGTAGACAAATGTCAGCAGATACCACTAAATGAACTTACATAACACCATTTAGAAAAGATACAAATTTATACACTGTATCTTTGTTTGGTCTTTGTTCTCATGATGTATCTGGGAAGAGAGGTGGATATGTTTGACTAACCCATAGTTGTTTGAGACAAAAATTTTTGTTATTACATCAAAGAGATTTCTTAATGATTAAATGTTCCCTCTCACACTCTTAACAGTATCAAGTAGAAATGTGACAAGAGCACCAAACCTTATTATTCCTTTGGTAGAGCCAAGAGACTAACCGATGAAGGCAGCAAATTTTGAGGCGTGTTGTGCGAATTATTCATCATACAACTTTATCAGCAGTACTGTTATTACAACTCAGTAGTGTAGGTCAGTGATAGGTGGTGTTAAAAATTGCTTATCTTACACACTGATGCTAGATGCTGTTTGATGTGGTCAAAATAGTACCATCATTAGACTGTAGAGCACTATAGGTCTTTTACAACAGTGAGCTAACAAAATATTATGGATATTCAGATGGATGTATGTGAACTAAATAGTAACTTGGTGAATGATATTTGACATAGCATGGTCTGTGTCAGCTGTATAATTTGCTGGACTTATTGTTTGAAGATCTTTTTCCTGTTTTGGACTTTGGTCCTTACTTTCAATAGAAGGACTGATCACTTTTGACATGTGCCAAGAAATTTTAGTTACACACTTGAAAAACACAGTTTAAAAAGGCTATTAGAATGTTTAGACAGTCTAGAAAGATTGGTTAACAGTTTAGAAAAATGTGCTTAATGATGCTTCTCTTCATACCGCAAGGTCATTTATGTTGTGATTTAAAGGAAATTTGGTGAAAATACAGTCAAATCCCAAAAATCCACTGACCTGAAATTCGCCAACTCCTGAAATCCGCATTGCCTCTCAAAATATAAACATTCAGTTTATAGCTTCTGGAAACTGCAACATTGAATACTAAATATCGAAGAAAAAATACTTATCGAATAAATGACGTCAAAATTACCGGATAATAATGAGTCATAACAGAAATACCAAATTGTTGACATAAAAAAAGTTTAATAAAATAAGATAAAAGTTTTTTGCCTCTAATCTCTGCATCAAGTTAAAAAAGCAGACGATTCAAACTCTTTGTTCAAGTTCACGATTGACGTTGTTGTATTTTCTGAGCTTTGTTATTTCACGAGGTTGTTTAGTGCTGCCTTTTTTTTAATCCTGTTTTTTTGTGGATAAATTAAGAATATTTTAAATTTCAGCCCTTTTTAATACAATAACAGATAAGAAATGCACTCATGATTTTACTGCTTGCAACATTGAAAAACGTAAACACATTGCATTGATGGTAACGCAAAAAGTGCAAATTCTGCAAAAGATGGAGGCAGGTGCTACTCCTTGATTTATACCAGAATGGTATGGAATTGTGCCATGATTGTATATGATATACAGAAAGATAAAGAAAAGCTGTTGAAATTTTACAGCAACAGTAATTCTAACACCGGAATCTGAAACCGGAAATCTTTGCATGATGTGAAATCGGCAAACCTTGATGCTGTGTACATATAATACAATAATAATATAATCAATATATATATGTAATAATAATTTAATGCATCTAATAAATTATTGCAATAATGTATATAATAATGTAATTAAATGTATCTAATACGCCTTATTTATTTTGCACTTTTAGTCCAAATATTATGCTTTATCTTTTCTGTCCTGAAATTCGTAAAATTCTAAAATCTGCACAATCTCTGGTCCCAAGCTTTGCGGATTTCTGGACTTCTACTGTACTTAACTGGCTTGCTCAAAGCCCGACTACATTCAGACATCTTAACAGTGAGCTAAAGTGTCTGTCTCGTGTTAGACTCACTCAGTATTACTCATTAACTATTCACCATGTTACAGGATTAAGGAAACAAATTCTGCAGCACTATGTTAGTGAAGAACATACCTTAAAAGCTAAATGCTGTTATAACAACAAGCAGAGGTTTAACTTCCTTTTAATAGTACAATTAACATCTTCGGAAAAATCAGTATTGCGTGCCTGGTAATTTTGGGCTGTAAATTGTGTGGAGCAAGCTCCATGCACATGCTGAACTGTGAATTGACATCCTAACTTTTTCTCACATTTTACTCATTTTTTTTTTCTATTTAAAACTTATTGAATGTTGTATTTTCATCTTTCTCTCTAACTCTTTTCATATATGATTTAGAAACTTTCGGTTTACAGTAATTCTGTGGAAACTATTGGTAGATCGCAAAATACATTGGATAAATAAAAAGAATGCTACTGAAAGTAACATTTGTAACTGATTCCTTTGAAACATAGAATACTGCCGTATTAGTATGTATTTTGAACATGATTTTTAATCTGCTAAATTCTTCCTTTAACTCTTCTCTTAAGAAATTATATGTACTGCATAATAAATAAGGTATGTGTGTAATTGAAAAGAAAAGAATTTTATTGTTGCGTCAGCTGTCTAATATTTCTCAATTTCATGTAATTTAATGAAAATATTTCACTGTGTGTTCTGTCAAAAAATAATACAGATGGCTAGAGAAAAGATATTGTTAGAAGACAGTATAAGTTTTTATCACACTCTCTTGAAATACGTGCAAAATAGTGATTATACTTTTTAATATACATTTTTTTATTCGCTTGTATGTTGAAATTGTAGCATTGCATTAAAAAGGTCAAAATAATACTAATAATAATACTCGTTAATACTAATAATGGCACTATCAAGTACTCATAATAATACTCATCAAAATAATACTAATTTATGCACCAGTCATTAAGCCAAAAAGATACATTTAGTGCTGTAGTGCTGAAAAAGCAGAATTTTAAGATATTTTTCACAAATACTTAGCTAAAAATAATAATAAAAAATATATAGTGGTTTTTTTTTTTTTTTCCGCTATTATTTTAGTTCAAACTTTATGCCACTGTGAGGATTCTTTTTTCAGAAGTGAAATAACAGTAGTAGTGCAGTAAAATAACACTAGAATATTAGCATTAAGAATTTCATAAATAATAAACGTATTTGGAAAACCTTTTGAATCTTTATAAAAACTTAATGCAAAATTTTGTTATTTACATTTCTTGAAACACACATACAAAAAAAGATTAAATCTATTATTAATGAGTACAATTGTTTATTACAAACGAATGAAACTCTTATCACTTATCTAGTTTCATTTAAAATTCTTTTTGCGTAGTATGAACACATATTGGAATTTAAATTATGTGTTGTTTTGCATACTGTTCATTAATTTGCTTCTCAGTCCCTAACAGAATTCTGAATTTTCAACAATGTGATAAACAGCATATTGCTATGGCAAGAACATTTTTAATACCTCCTGTGAGAGATGTAAGTGTCTCTGTTGAAATTTATAATTCATTAAATTTGTTGTCCATTTCATATGTATATGAAGTAGATAATGTCATTTTTTTTTTAAATATATGCTTATAATGTTATTGCATTATTGTACTTGGTGTTTTATAATTTCCTCTAGGATTTTAATTTTTATAGTATGATAAACATAGTAAATGTAGCACAGTGCTTCATATAAGTGCATAAAGAATTGCCGTATGGGTTTTTCATGTACCTTACAGACATTTAACCGCTTCCCTTACAAATTTTTTTGAAACAAATTGTAAAAAATCATCACATTTTTTTATTTTATTATTAAATACAACAAAACGAAACAAATCTAAATATGTAGGTTTTAAGTTGAACTTTTAATTTTTTGAAGGTGAAAAAGCATTTATTTTTAATGTTTACTATCCCGAGTTACCTCGGGCAAACAAAAATAGTTAAATATTAATCTTTGTATGATTGTTTTTGAAACAAGGGACAACACAGAGTGATACCTGAAGTTCTACACTGGTATCTGGTCTCTTTTCTTACTGGCTTACCGCTGGAACCTCTTTCACGGGAGCACAGAGTGCACTGTCTCGTCGGATTTGATTCCCCCCCCCCGCCTCTTCATAATCACTATCTGAAAAATCATCGCTTTCGCTATCTTGCATCATCGACATTACTTTATTTTTTTTCCCAACGCATGCATCCTTCTTTATACATTAATAATCCACAAGCCAGCGTATACTATACAATAGGGAAACACGCGACCAGTCCCTCCAAAAGAACTGCGCAACCAACAAAATTTGGCAAACTGCCAATCAAAGCTGAATATTTCCTTTCATTTCCTCCAGACCGAGTAAAACCATGATAAAAGAAATCGTACTAACAAATTCTGCTTTGCCCGAGTTTTCTCGGAATAATAATTAACTGCAATATATACGAACCCGAGATAACTCGGGATAATCAGGCAAGCGATTAATGTATGCATTCCTCGTGACATGGCAGACTTCGGTCTTAGCCAAGTCAGGCTAGAGCCTGTTCATTTTGCATTACATGGTGGACATTCTTCTTGAATGCACAAATTGCTTGAAGTTTCTTTTTTATATTTCATCTAAAATCTTTATTGTACATTATTGTTGAATGAACATTTAGAAAATTCTATGATGCAGTAAGCTTTGTGTTCACTATTGATGTCATACTTGTATTATTCTACTATCTGTAGTAGCTAAATATACAAACGGCAAACTTGGAGAGATTTCCTATGTTCTGTTAAAAAACTTTTTTGCCTAATTTATTACAGCTATTGAATATATATTTTTAAACCTCAATTAAGTTATGAATCATTCATATTTTGGCATTTCTTGTTATAATTAGCTAACCTAAACGGTACAATAATAAGTGTTTCCCATATTGTGGGGCTCGGACTTGAACCCTAGGTAACACATGAATATTTATGAGGTATAGTGTTTTCAGAATAGGTGCAATTCAGATAGAAGTCCACTTGAGAAGCTGATGGCAAAGAAAGAAGAATTGAAACTGTTATATTCAGTCTTCTGCAGTGTACTGAAAACATTGTTTCTGTCTTAAGTCAAAGTAAACTAAGTTTCAATTCAATGAAATGGGACTAAAACATAGGCAATACCATAGCTCTCAGTTCTTCTGGCTTTACAGAAAACTCATGGGTTTTTCATTGTGGAACACTGGTAGTTTGATTCCGGGCAATGAAATGGCTGCATGAACATTTTCCTGCCTCCCCATGTGTAATGTGGATAGCAGCCAGTTTCCTTTAAAATGTCTTCCACAAAACATCCTTTGATTAGGGAGCTAGTCCTAGTGTAGCCTAGTGTTTTTGCTGTAATCAAATAAACCAAATCAAATCAAACTTACATTTTCATTTTAATTTTTAGCCTAAGGAAAATAGTTTGTAAACATAAATAAAATTTGAATTAAAAATCTTAAATTGGGCACATTCCAGTCCCCACCCCATAATTTTTCTTACTAAATTTTATTTGACTTTAGTGAATGGTCTTAATAATATAGACAATTGTAGAAATTTTAATAAAGATTCTACTAATGTTTAATCAGTTAATATTTGTATTTAATTTTGTTTTGCATCACTTTATGGATGTTATTAAGTTTATCCATGTGACAGTACTTACATTAATTATTAATTTTATTTTCATGCTTTTTAAGTGCTTTCATATATAAATGCTTTTCATGCCTACTCAGGACTTTTTCAGTATAAAAGTGTGAAAGAATTACAAAATTAAATTAGCCAAAGAATATAAAATTTTGAATTGCTAATTTTATATTGATATGTTGTACATGGGAATTATTTTATAATTAGTTCTGTAATACAAATTCTGCATAAAGTTGAATTTAAGTCGAGTTTGATTTCTTTTGAATTTGCATCATGGCATAGGAGAAAAAATCCCAGAAACTTCTAATTTTTCATATTTCAAGGCTGACAGTTATGTTATAGCCTTTATATGCATTACTAAAATTAATTAATTCAGTTCTATCTACAGATTGTGATACTGGATTATTTGTATAACAAATTTGGTTCTTTGAAATGTACACTGCTCAAAAAAAAAAAAAAAAAAAAAAAAAAAAAAAAAGAGGACAGTGCTATATCTCCCGTTCATACTGGGCCGATTGACAAAATTCAACCTGCGTTTTTCATGTCTCAAAAGCGCGACTTAGGATATATATTAGATTTATATATAGCACTATTCTAACATATGTATTTTGACTCAAAATTGGACTTTTTCTGAAATAACATACCAATTTTTTTCCATATTTCGATTCTACGACTCAAATTATGCCAGAATACCAAGTTTTGTAAAAATCGTATGAGTAGTTTTTAAAATATTAGCTCTCAAAATTTTAGCTCCTCAATGTTAATTGAATTTGGCAAATATTTATTAATATCTCTTTTTTTATTAAACTTTTTTGATTTTTTCTCTCACATTTCGAAATTTAGGTTCATTCCAAATAAAATGTACCCATTTTTTGTGTTTTATTTTTAAAATTTCTATTTTAAATAATTTTTTATAAATTTTTCGAAAAAAATTTGAATTATAACCTATAAAATTTTTACCATCATCTTAAAGTAGGTGTATTTTTAAGCATATCTGCAAAAAATTAGGCTTTTTTATTCAAAATTTTCTAAGATATACACGAATTTACATATTTTCGCATTTTGAAATTTGGCATCTTTTTTTGAGCGATAATAACGCCAAATGTGGTCTATGGATTTTTGTTACACTGAATTGCCACAGCTATTTTTAACCTTAAATTTCAAGTAAAATTTTACGGAAAATTAATTATATGACATTTTTTTCCCTCAATGATGCATAATAAATATTTATTAATACTATATTTAAAGCTATTTTTTTAAATTATAGATGATATTATTCAAATTTTTAACTATTTTTTTTAAATTTCTCTATATCTTTAAAAAAAAAATAAATAAGAGTAAATTTTTGTATGAGTAAATTTTTACCTTCGGCGTTTTAACGTCTGCTGCTTTACTTCGTTTAAATCGAATTGTCTAAAACTGAGAATTTTTGTTTGATGTTTATTTGAATTTTATGACAGTAACTGCATAATTTATTTCTAAAAACAAACTGTTGCTTTTGAAGTGGCTGAAAGAGCGGCTAATACTATCATCCATATTTTTAAAGCACAGTATATTTTTTATAGAAACATAAGATTTAGAATAATCATTTTTATAAAAGTCAAATTATGATATAAATATACAACCCTCTAGAGACTGAATTAATGGAAGTTCTCTGGTTGTGCAGAAATGATCTGCAGCTACTTAATGGCTTGATAAGTCAGCAGATTCTGTGGACAAGTAAGAATAATTATATAAATGACACCCAACATTCTGGATTCAATTAACAACGAGGATACAATGTTTATTAAATGAATTCAAGAGTTTTAAAACATAAAAAATCAACTCATTTTTTTATCTTAAAATGTATTCTTGTGCGTAGCGTATTTTCATTTTATTCTTAAAATTCTAATTTAGAATGTAATTGTCAAGAACTGAATCCTAATCATTAGTAATATAATAAGTAATTATTACGGTTATTAATAAATCCTTCTTATAAATTGCAAATATTGCACACGATATTATTTATTTACACTTCAATTCTAACCGTCAGCTCTAGTAGAAGTTACAAATCAATTACATTTAATTAAGGATTGGATTATTTAATTATCGCAAAGCACATGAGGGTTATCTGCCTAAGGGAGGGATTCCTTCGTGGAGGACTTTCTAAGGGAAACTGGCTCGTATACATGTTACACATGGGGAAAACCACGAAAACGCCCATGCAGCCAGCCCGTTCGCGGGATTCGAACCTCGCACCGAACTACCAGTGTTCAGCGTCTTTACCGCTCGGCCGCTGGTGGGCTATTTAATTAAGGAACGACCATCTAAGTTTAAAAACAGCGTACCGTAGCAGCAATTGAATTATTGCCGCCGCATCTTTCATGTTACTCCCGATTGGCAAGCTACATGATTTTTAATGAGTATTCGGGTTTTGCTAGTAACTTCACTTAGAAATCGTGCTTAAACTAGGTTAGTTGGTTATTTGAACATAGAAAGAACATGGGAGCTATTTGATTAAGATGCTTTCATAGAGAACCTTTGTAAAGAGAACCTAGAAAACTACGAAAACCAACCATGCAGCCTGGGTTAGACTTTGCAACAAACAATTAGTATTTAACAATCTTCAAATGCTAGGCAACTGTTGAGGCTCCAATTAAATCTCCAATTTAATATTTTATTTCTAAATATTTAAAATATTGTTGTATTGTTAGACACAAAAAGCAGAATTTAAGTTTTGTTAACTCGTTAGTAAACTACCAAGCCGTAGTGCAAATGAATATTAATTGCTTTTGCAATAATTGTATTCACTTAATATTCTTGGAATATGAGCTAAAGAAGGAACGTTCTCGGAAGATTAAAGAAGTGTTTAAATCCAGTGATATTA